GAGAGAGAGAGAGAGAGACGATAACTCTCCGACCTCGCGGCTCGCGCCATGCTACTTCCATCGATAGGATGAGCAACATCCAATGAATCTTCAGCTAGAACATGGAAATATACACTACCTGGTTGAATATGGCCGACTGCGTCATGCTACTTCCCAACCCCCCCCCCCCGGCGCGGCGCGAAAAAAAACGGTAGCGAAAAAAGAGCCCGTTCAGAAAGTCGCGCCGACACCAACCGCCCCCCCAAAAAATAGCAGTAAACAGAAAACCCCGCTGGGCCCACGAAGCCGAGCCAACACCTACCCAAAAAAAAAGACGGCCCTTAACAAAAAACCGTGCCGGGCCCAAGGTGCACTGGGCCCATGCGGGAAAGGTCTCAGTGGGACGCGTCACGCGAGACCCGCGTTTTGCTTTAGAGTATTTAGATTAGAAATGAGAGAAAACATCGGAGGGCCACGTCGTGGATCGACAGTTGTTCCGACTTTTCTGGACTTTCCCCCAAAAGAAAAAGGAACAATTGTTGATCCACGATGTGCTTTCATATCAAACAAATTAAAAAATAAATAAAAAAAAGAAAAAAAGAAAAGCCACTCAAGTGCTTCAAGATGGGTCTCCAGTCTCTCGTACACTACTACACTCACGTCATTGCAATCCTCGATGGTGGACGCCTCAGTGAGATCGAGGAGGAGAGTAAATATCAATCCGGCCTCCACGTGTGCATCTCTGCACAAAAGAAGAACGATATCTGCAAAACCAAAAAACGAACAGAGGACAAATGGTCACTCAGTTACAAGTGCCAAAACCTCTGAGGCTCAATAACATTTTTTTTTTTTTTTTAAGGCGTTCAACGTCCAATCACAGTCTCAAACACACACACACACACACACGATCCATGTCTTGAACACACCACACAAATGAGGTCAACCGAGGTTGACAGTTGGATACATTGTCTCATCCTGGAGTCCAAAGAAATTGTCCCAAGCTAGTGTCTTAAACAAGAGTCCCAAGCAAGCAAGCATCCCGAGCAAGCGAGTGTCCCAAGAAAGAAAGTGTCCCAGACAAGCAAGTGTCCCAAACAAGCAAAGTGTCCCAATAAAACCAAGTGTCACAAGCAAGCAAGCATAGTGTCCCAAGCCAGCAAGTATCCCAAGCACGCAAGTGTCCAATTAAGTGTCCCAAGCAAGTGTCCCAAGCAAGCAAGTGTCCCAAGCAGGCAAGTGTCCCCAAAGAAGCAGGCGTGTCAAGAAAGCAGCCGTCTCAAGCAAGCAAGCATCCCAAGCAAGCCAATGACCCAAGCAAGCCAGTGCCCCAAGGAAGCACGTGTCCCAAGCAAGCACCCGTAACGAGTAAGCCAGTGTCCCAAGCAAGTGCCCCAAGCAAGCAAGCGCCCCAAACAAGCCCGTGTCCCAATGCCGGGACACTTACTTAGGTCGTCCCAGCGCAAGTGTACCAGCAAAAGCGCCCCTAGCAAGTGTCTCAATCAAGCAATGGTCCCAAGAAAGAGTCCCAAGCAAGTTCCCCAGTGCTGGGACACTTACTTGGGTCCATCCCCGCACAAGTGTTCCAAGCAAGCAGGTGTCCCAATCCAAGGATAGCACTTACCAAGTAGACGGGGCACAAAGCCTTTGTTGGTATCCCCATTGCCAATCCCTTTTCCATACTGCATTACCGGCACTCCCTCCTTCAAAGCCAACCTCTGCGGAAGAAGGGAGAATAGACACACAACCCACACAGTCGAAAAGTCTAAGCAAAACGACCAAATTCCGAGCAAAAAAAAGGCGG